CACCTCACTTCCTACAAATAAGAAGGCAGTGGATTGTAAGTGGGTGTACAAGATCAAACTTAAGCAAGATGGAACTGAAGATAGAAAGAAAGCCAGGTTAGTTGCCCGGGGATTTACTCAACAGGCTGGACTTGATTATCAGGAAACTTTTTCTCCTGTGGCTAAGTTAGCTTCTGTCAAGGCTTTGTTGGCAGTTGCAGCCAGTAAAAGTTGGCATCTGCACCAGCTGGACATAAACAATGCCTTCCTTCATGGAGACCTCAAGGAAGAAGTATATATGAAGATGCCTCCAGGGTATGAGCAGCAGGGGGAGAATGGTGTCACATTGGTATGCAAACTTAACAAATCTATCTATGGACTCAAACAAGCCTCAAGGCAATGGAATACCAAGCTGTCATCCTTCATCATATCTCAAGGATTTGTTCAATCTAAGTCTGATTACTCACTTTTCAGCAAGAGAACTGACTGCTCTTACACTGTGCTGCTCATTTACGTTGATGACATCATAATAGGAGGAAATGATCTGACATACATTGAGCACTTTAAAAGGAATCTGGACAATCAGTTCAAGCTGAAGGATTTAGGAGTCTTAAAATACTTTTTGGGGCTTGAAGTTGCAAGATCATCCAAAGGCATTGCTGTCTGTCAACGTAAGTATGCCTTGGAAATCCTTGAAGATGCAGGTTATTTAGGATCAAAGCCTGCAAAATGTCCTATGTTGCAGGGTCTGAAATTGACTAAAGATCAAGGGGAGTTGCTAGATGATCCAGGAATGTACAGGAGGCTAATTGGAAGGCTCTTACACTTGACCATTACAAGACCAGATTTGTCATTCTCAGTGCAGGCTCTAAGTCAATATCTTGAATCCCCTAGAAAGCCTCACTTAGATGCCGCACACCATGTGCTCAGATATGTGAAAGGAACACCAGGGCAAGGATTATTCTTTGCAACAGATTCTAATTTTGAGCTCAAAGCTTTTTGTGATGCAAATTGGGCGTCGTGTGCATATACAAGAAGGTCAGTTACAGGGTTTTGCATATTTCTTGGAGGGCCCTTGATATCTTGGCAATCAAAGAAGCAACATACTATATCAAGGTCATCAGCTGAAGCAGAATACAGGGCCATGGCAGCAGCAGTCTGTGAAATAATTTGGCTTAAGAAGGTGTTGACTGATCTGGGGGTTGATCATCCTAAAGCTGCTCTACTATTCTGTGATAATCAAGCGGTAATGCATATAGCTAGCAATCCTGTTTTTCACGAGAGGACGAAACACATAGAACTAGATTGTCATTTGGTGAGAGAAAAGATACAATCTGGTGACATAAAAACCATGTATTTGTCCACAAAGAATCAGCTAGCAGATTTGTTGACTAAAGCTTTAGGGGGAGCCAGATTTCAAATGTTATTATCCAAGATGGGTGTTTTGAATATTCATCAGCCATCTTGAGGGGGAGTCTTACGGGAATGTAGGGTTATTTATGTAATTCACCATGTTAGCTGAGCTGTCATTTTGGTTAAATGTATATATATACACGATTGTATCATGAACATCAGTTAGTGAGAAAAATTCTTTCCCCATTCGTGTCTTCTCTCATTTTACTCTCTAATTACACAACTAAATCAAATTTAGGCCGGAGGACATTCCCAAAAATGCTTTTCATACTCATGAGGCCACTATGAATTTTTGATTATGCCTTTTGGGTTATCAAATGCACCGGCAAATTTTCAACATCTAATGAATGAGGTGTTTTGACTTTACTTGTGAAAGTTTGTCTTTATTATTATTATTTTTTACAACAATTTGGTCTACCATCAGTCGTTTGAGGAACATCTATAACATTGGGGCGTAGTGCTGGGGATTTTGCGAGAACATCAGCTATATGGCAATGAGAAAAAATGTTTGTTCGAATGAAAGGAAGTTGAGTATCTGGACCATGTATTTTTTGAGAAGGGATGGCAACTACTCGTTTAAAAATTGAGGCAATGGTTAACTGGTCAAGCCTGTGTAACCTCAGGAAGCTTCGGGGATTTTTGGGTCTTACGAGCCACTACAAATTGTTTGTGCCATGCTATGCCAAGTTGGCCTGACCCCTAACTGAGTTGCTCAAGAAGGATCGATTCAGGTTGGATGATAAAATGGGGGCAGCCTTTTAGGTCCTAAATCAGCTATGGTCAGTGTTATAGTGCTTGCACTGTCTGATTTTTTGAAGTAGTTTTTTATGGTCGAAACCGATGCATTCGATTTGGTTTTAGGACATTTTTTATGCAGGATAGCCATCCTACTGACTATTTTAGTAGAGTTCTACCTCATAGTGTTAGGTAAAAGTCAGTTTATGAGAGAGAGAGAGAGAGAATTAATTGCCCTTGTGTTCGCTATCCAAAAATGGCGTCACTACTTGTTGGACAAACACTTTTTGGTTAGAACGGATCAACAGAGCTTGAAGTTCTTAATGGTGCAATGTTTGGCTTTAACAACTACTAAGATTCTTCAACTAGAGAAGATTAAGAAAAAGGTAACAGTTGATGATGTGTTGGGGAAGTTAGTAACAAAGCTATAGGCCAAAAACATTCTGAAGTTAGGGTATGCGTTGATAGACTGTATCTTATATTATCGTAGAAAGCTAGTGTTGCCTAGCCAATCACCTTTTATCACCCTTATGTTGCAGGTATGCCACGATGCTAAAGTAGGTGAGCGTTTGGGGTTTCTAAAGACATATAAGCGCACTAGGGAAGTATATTGACAGGGAATGAAAAAATAGGTGAAGGAATATGTGGCTAAGTGCAGGGTTTGTTAGTAAAATAAGTATATGGCGTTATCTCATGGAGGTCTGTTGCAACATTTGTTGATTCTTGAGTTTATTTGGAAGGATGTTTCTATGGATTTAATTGAGGGGCTCTAACGGTCCGGAGGTGTTGATATTATCTTGGTCGTTGTGGACTGCTTGAGTTAATATGGGTATTTCATTGGTCTAAAGTACCCTTTCACTGCCCCCATGGTTGTTGAGGTATTTATTCACGAGGTAGTCCACCTGCATGGTATGCCTCTCTCCATCATTTGCGATAGAGACCGAATCTTTATGAATACATTCTGGACTACTCTGTTCAAAGCACAAGGAATTGCCCTCAAACAAAGCACTACTTGTCATTCGCAAATTGATTGGCAAATAGAGGTTGTAAACATGTGCTTGAAAACGTATTTGAGGTGTTTTGTGTCCGGCAGACCGTGGGTTTAGAGTCAGTATTTACATTGGACCGAGTTCTGTTATAATATTTCCTTCTATACAGCAACCAAGCACACACCTTTCCAAATTGTGTATGGCTGTGAACCACCTCAGATACTGTCGTTGAAGAAAGGTGTGATAGCTAGTTCTTCTATTGAACAACTTTTATTAGATCACAATGAAGCTTCGAAGGAACTTAAGGTACAACTTACTAGACCACAACTGAGGATAAAAGAGAGTGGAGATGAACATCACCGTGACGTCCAGTTTGTGGTGGAAGACTTGGTCTATCCAGTGCTGGTCCTGACTATAGGCGCGGTAGGCAATTGCCTAAGGCCCTACTTCAATAAGGCCCTCAGTTTTTTTTTTACATGTATTTTTGCGTATATATAAGGTCCCATATATGAAACTGGTCCTAGGCCCCCAAAATCTCAGGGTCGGCCTTGGGTCTATCTTAAACTACGCCCCTATTACCTGAAGTCTGTTGCTAAAAGAGCAGTTGCGACGCTGCCTCTGAGGTACTACGGACCGTTTGAAGTGGAATTGAAGATCAGACATGTAGCATACAAATTGAAATTGCCTTTATAGTAGCCATTCACTTGATTTTCCATGTCCTTCTGCTCCGTAAGCCTGTGGGTAACCAACAGCCTATCGTCGCTTCCACCCCAACTGTCAGGTGAATGGGAGTTTATTTTGCAGCCATAGGCTGTTCTTGGCATTCATCCTAATCCTAACAACATGGTGGGGGATCCTGATATCTTAATCAGGTGGAAATTTTACTAGATTTCGAGGCCACTTGGGAGCCTTGTGAAACTGTCAGACTGCATTCCCTAGCTTCCACCTTGAGGACAAGGTGGATTTTGGGGTGGAAAGGTAATGATGGACCCCCGATTAGGTTCACTTATGCAAGAAGAAAGGAGTTTGCCAAGTAGTAGGAGTTATTCACGTACTGACTTTTCTATTAGAATGGAGGAGGGGGAGACAGGGCCTCTCTAATAGCCCTAGTCTTGTTATCATTTTAGGTATCAATATACCATTTTGTTCTTCCATTACATTTAGGTATTTTAAAAAATTCATTAGGTAACATAGTGGTTTCATTTGCACATTGAGATCTAACCATTACTGCATGCCAGCAGGGTTGCTGAACTTCATCAGAGGTTCCAATGATTGATCAGCATCAGTTCATACTTATCATGTCATAAAATCGAATATATCATTAAATTATATTTCGGATAGTGGATAGATACTCCACTGGATCCTTGAATGACCTCGCCAATTTTGTAGATATTAAAAATAGCCTTCGAGCTCCATCGAAGGAGGAGGGAGATCACACCAAATGATTTTTACAACTCGACCATGTGAAAATTGTTATTTATATATAAGCAATTCTTCGCCTATATATTGTTCAATTTGTTGTATGGAAAACTCCATAAATTAAAAAAACAAAACGAAAGAAAGAAAAAAAAAAAAGACCATATTAACTTTGACAATTTAGTAACCTAAGTGAGGATCATGCTAATACTATATTGAATTTGAATCATATAAGGATTTGTTTGAGCTTCAATCTTTTGAAGATTAAATTTTGTAATAATGATTTTTTTTTTGAAAAATGTGTAATTACAAAATATGAAAAATTTTAAATTTACATGCAAAATTATTTTATTAAAAATAAATTTTTAAGAATGGAGCTGAAATATAGGAAAAATAATTTCAGGAGACACCGGCACCACACCATTTCCTCTACATATTATGGTCCAAATACAAGAACCAAATGAAATCCTAATCGAATTTGATTTCTTCCGTGAAAATACCGAACAACCCTTGTTGTCTGTCCTCAATTCAATTAACCTGGACATATTCTTTGCACTCCTCAGATATCCATAAAAGATAGAAATTTTTTTGCGTCTCTTCAAAGCTTTTCCTTCATTCGGTTTTACAGAGAGTAAAAATGGGTTCTGTTGGCAAGGTATGCATTTCTAAATTCTCAGTTTAGGGTTTGTTTTCAATTTGTTTATATCTATTGTATTTGCTAAATGAGATTTCATGGTTAATTTAATGTTCTTATGTCTGACAAAATCGGGAATTTGATTTGATGAATTATCTTGCTTGTGCGTTCTATCTTGGAATTTTGTTGGACTAAACTGGATTGGTATAATTTTCTGGAACGATTGATTGCTTTGTCCTTCCTGTTGTTCTCAACTTTCTTAATTACGCCATATACCTCTCTACCTTTATTAAAAGCTTTAGGGATTTGTTATGGTTGGATCTTAGGCGTTTTTGGATTAGTAGACAAATTTCCTTCTTCTTTTCTTCCGGTGTAATCTTCCTTGACGCATAAGCTATAATTCTCAATGACGTTTGAGAATCTTTTCATGATGGTTCTTTGAATTGGGGAGATTCTCTACCAGAAAATGAAGAGTTGAGGAAAGGATATGTGCTTCGGTTTTCTGCTATTATCATTAAACCCCAAAAGGGGGGAACCAAACAAGAGAATTTGCTAATTCAATTCTGTGTTTTTAATTTTTATTTCTGTAATTCGCTTGAAACCTTCATGGAAGATTGGAATAGTTTTCTTTTTTAATCATTCGCATCATATTATGTATGGAGAAGCTGCTTTTATTCACAGTCTTTTGTGGAATAATTAATAATAATCCAACGGGTCTACCAATTAGGCGTGCTTACATTGTACTTCAGTTCTGAATTTTGGAAAAGAAAAATCAGTTCATATATACAGAAGAAATTTTTTTTCAGACATCCTAATTTGGATGTTATCAAATGAGGATTCTTATTCTGAGCTATTGTTTGGTTTTCTTATGTTAAGACTTAAGACTGTGAATGATTGTTGTTTATTCTGTACGTGTGGAATGGTATACATGGTATCTTTGATGAATTTCTTTCTTCTTATAAGCTTACTATAAATAAAGCCAACTAACATTCTCCAATAATTAGTAAAACTTTTTTTTTCCCGTTCCTGTACCTTCCTTTAAGCAGGTTGAAAAGAAAAGTTTAACTTGAATTTGGTTTTTTGCAGGATGATAGAGAGGAAGTTATACAGGCATGGTACATGGATAACAGTAATGAAGATCAGAGACTACCTCATCACCGTGACCCCAAGGAGTTTGTGTCCTTGGATAAACTCGCTGGTATTTATTGTTAGACGATGCCTTTATAATTATAGTTTACGAACAAGCTTTTTATCTGTCATCTTGCAAAATTTCAGAACTTGGAGTGCTCAGCTGGAGATTAGATGCTGACAATTATGAAACAGATGAAGAGTTGAAGAAGATCCGTGAAACTCGTGGATATTCTTACATGGTATGGTAGACGATGAAATAAAGGGTTAATTGAAGTAAAGTAATAGATAGCTGTTTGTAAACAATTTTCAGTCGGATATAATTTTCATGTTTTCCAGTGAAATTATTGTAATGGGATTAACATCTCTTTTAGGACTTCTGTGAGGTTTGCCCTGAAAAATTGCCCAATTATGAGGAGAAGATCAAGAATTTTTTTGAAGAACATCTTCACACAGATGAGGAGATCCGCTACTGTGTTGCAGGGAGCGGTAGGTTTATGATGATGAACTTGACTAGATTATTTTGGCTACTTAATGAACGTGTTACATAATGTAATTTCTTCTTGACGAAGGTTATTTTGATGTTCGTGATCGTGATGAGGCTTGGATCCGCATTTGGGTGAAGAAAGGAGCAATGATTGTTCTGCCTGCTGGAATATATCACCGATTTACGCTGGATTCAGACAACTACATTAAGGTAAACTTCAAAGGAGCACGATCCACATTTCTTACACCAAATTGCAGTCATATGTTAAATTATCTGAAGTTTATGCTTCTACCTTTTTAGAAGTCTCTATTCACGAAGAAAAATAAATTAGAAGATAAGCAACGGATGCTATCAGCTATGGGAGAGATGATAACATATACATCTAAATACTGAGTTTGTAGTCTTCTAGTCCATTTGACTCAATTCATGTGTGTAGATAGTGCAGAAAGAGAGTCATCACTTTCATATCTTGGGTTTATGTTAATATTTTATTAATCTCTCTTATTGCGACAACAATGCAACATAACATGTGAATAAAAACATGAGCTGCATTATTCGCAGGCAATGCGGCTCTTTGTTGGTGATCCTGTTTGGACTCCGTTCAATCGCCCTCATGATCATCTTCCTGCCAGGTATAGTCAACCAACCTCCCCAAACTTAAAATACACCACTCCCTCCACCCACACACACCAAAAATTTAGAAACTGGGGAAAACAAAGAACAAAAGGAACGGTGGCTGGTGTGATATCCAAAATGCAAAAGCACAAGCACGTTCACACAAGGAATTAGAAAATAAATTAGAGTTGAGTAATAAGATTGTGTCTCTATGTGCAGGAAACAGTACGTTGACAATTTTGTGCAGAAGGATGTTGCTGGTCATGCAGTTGATGCTGCAGCTTAAACCCCTCTTTTACATTTTAAAAACTTGGGAAACTGTCGGGTCTGTGAGTATAAACTTATCCGTATAGACTTGCTGTGTTTGTGCAGCTTTAGTTGGACGAATGGCTTGCGTGGTATAAAATAAAATATATTTTAAATTGCTGCCTTAACCGGATACAGAGTGAAAGTATGTATGGAATTTGTACTCTTTTTGAGTATGACACATCATATGCGGGGTACTATATACAAATGTATCGATTAATCCATTGGTTTTATGTCTTGTGAAGTTGTTCCTTTGGGTATGTTGACACATTATATTGTATAGGACTAGATAAGAATAATTGAATAAAGGATAAGGTATGTGTGAGAGAATTTTGTATGTTCGGTTGAATTTGATGTGGTTTGTAAATATGCCCGCGTTAACTAACCCATTCTTGTCCGTTAATGCTCATGGTCAATTGACATTTTTATTAGTTGCTATGAGATAATATTTAAGGACAATGCAGGCGTTACATCCATAGAAAAAACTGGCAACTATGAACTTTAAATTAAGGTGGATAAATTCTTATTAGTGTATTTTTTGTTGGGTCATTTTTTTAGGGATAATTGCAGAAGAAGTTCCAAACTTTTGAAACATTAGCAGACTTTTTTCAAATCTTTCATTCGTTGCAACTGTCACCCCTAACATTTTCAAACGTTACATGTGAGGCTATTTTGGATGATTTTCATCAAAAATTTCGTCAGTTGACCATCAAAATAAACTTTGACCACCTTTTAATGAATTTTAAAAGGGTAAAATGGTAACTTTCTATTTATCACATTAAATAGAAAAAAAAAAGGAGTCTTCTTCTCCCCCACGCACCCCCCCTCAATCTAAAACCAGCAATAATAAATTCATCACCATCGAATCTGACGAAATCCAGGTGCTCAAAAACGAAATTTTCAGGCCTAATTATCTGTCCAAACGGGCCAGATTTGACGGAATCTATGGTGCCCGACTCGAGATCCATTAAAACAGTGCGTGGAACATACCTCCCCATGCTAGACTCATTGTAATAAACATAAACATTTATTCACTCGAGCTGGAGTTCGGAGTCTCCATTGTACTTTTTGATTTGGTCAATTCCATGCTCATTCCATATGACCTCCCATAACTTGGCTGGGATATGGTTGTCGCATTGGCCTCCCTGAATATGAAGGATTTCTCTCACTGTTTGTGCGTTTTTGTGTGCGCACGGTGTTTTTGAGAAATTATGAAAGATTTGTATTGTTTTTGTTATAGGCGGAGGTGGATTTATTATTGTTGGTTTTAGATTGTGGGATGGGGTGGGGGTAAGAGAAGATCCTTTTTTTTTTTCACATAAGTTTTTTAACTGAGTAATGTGGTAAATAGAAATTTACCATTTTGTCCTTTTAAAATTGATTAAAAGGTGATCAAAACTTATTTTGATGGTCAACTAACAATTTTTTATGAAAATCATTCAAAAGGGCTTTACATGTAACGTTTGGAAATGTTAGGGGTGATGACTGTAACAAATGAAAAGTTTGAAAAAAGTCTGCTAATATTTCAAATGTTTGAGACTTTTGTTGCAATTATCCCTTTTTTCGCTCTATTCTTATAAAAACTTCAGTACATTTGATCCATTATGATGGATCACTAAAATAGTCCGTTAGGAGGGGCCAAAAAATCTTATTTGCCCCCCTTGTATGTTAAAATAAAACAAAAAAATACCAAATAAAAAGTGACACAACACATTTGTCTTTCATTTTAAAGTATTTTAAATATTTGGTGAAACCACCATCAGGAATTAGATATGTTAATTAATGAAAAAATAAGGATAGAAATGTGATAAGAAATGGAAACATAAATATAACAATAAGCAGTACAATTAACTATTAAAATTGTGGTCTGAATACGTGCATAGTGGTGGAGTTAGCACCTGGCGAGCCATGGTAGCCGACTGTGTTGGCTCTATAGAAAATATTTTTTCTTCATATATTGGTGGCTTGTCACCAACGAGTGTCCTCCTTAGTTTAGATGAGTTCTTGGATTTGTTACTCATGCAAGCAAAGCTTTAATTCAGTGACAATTTTTTAATTTTTTTTAAACAGAAAAGTAATACAAATTTGTCTATTTTTTATAATTACTATTATGGTTATTGGTTTGTTATGCAAGTGGTAACTCAACTTTGCAGGGAAATTTTAAAATTGTCGCTGATGTAATTTTCTTACTACTGGTAGGTTACAATAATGATAAAATCTATAAAATATATTAATTTTAAATTCTATATATTTTTATTGAATGCTAATATTAACACTAGACGTAGAAATGGTAACGAGGTGGGGGCAGGGGCAATTTCCCGCCCCGTCACCTGTTTTANNACTTACTCATTTAATTTTTTGTTTAATTCATTTTATTACCCCCATTTATTTAAGTGAGACAATAATTTAGTTATTAAATTTTTAATTAATTTATACATTTTTAAAAATTAAATTATTCGAATATATTTGATAAACTAAAGTTTTTATTGTTAGTCATATTTTTTAGATAATCTTAGTTATCATATTCTATTAGAATTAATGAAATTTCGTGTAGTTTTTTTTGTTTAAAGTATTGAATTTTTAATGAAAAAAATAAATAAAAATTAAATGGGTTGAGGCGTGCCCATGTTACCCGTTTTGCCCCGTACCCAACCCGCATATCCGATTAAGTAGGTAATCTCCGTCGTATTCGGCCTTAACTAAACAGCATTATATGTTATGTTAAGATCGTCGAGTTAATTACAAAATGGGTCATTGGAGTTTCGAGTAAGTTTCAAAATGATCATTGAAGTAGTTTCTAACAATAGTAGCCATTGAAATTTTTAACAGTTTCATCAAAGGTCACTTGATTAAAAATATTAATATAATTATTAATAAGTTCAGGTTGCATAAGAATTTTCTACCCACAAATGTTACAATAAAAGGCAACAAGAAACCAAAATAGATAAAAGATGATTACACCCAGATATTAGACAATCGTGATGAACACAAATACTGCAAATCTAAAACTTTGTTCGACTATCAACAATTTCTTTTAAAGTTGCTGTATCACGAGCCCACTATTCGAGTTATGTACAAAACCGTTTTTCGTCCGTAGTTATAGTCTCACTCCATTCGACCGCTTTCCCCATTTTCCATCACAAGGCTAATGATAAATTGTATTGTATTTCATCCACAAAGCATACTAGCTTGCAAACACCCAATTGCATCCTTGCATTGCACTTTGTGACGAGACACTCGCCTATTCGTGACTCGTGAGGCACAACATCATTGATGCTCTCAACTCTATTGGACTCGATGTAACTATGGGAATGACAACACGGAGGATTCGGGACAAGAATCACATTCTCTGCCCCCATTCTTAGTTACGCGCGGTCAAATCAAGGTCGAAAGCTTCCAATCCCCATTGAAAGTCCAGTTTATAAATTTTTAATTGTATTTAAAATATTATTTTATTAATTATATAAATTAAATCGAACTAAATTATAATTATTATTATTATATTGTAAAAAACTTGAAAAGATGATACAAAACTACATTATTTATAGACCTTCGTAATCTAATAATACTAATAGATTTTCAACTTGGGACACTTCAACAATAAAGCTATGGAAAGAGGATAACATAATTTTTTGTACAGTGCACCATCCATGTGAGTGTGGGACACCTTGATATACAAAAAAGTATGTACACCAAGTAAAGTCCGTGGAAAGAATCCTACATTGTAATCTTTTAGGTAAATGTGTTGAAGGAAAATCCTGTAAAAGGAGATGGTAGACCAACTTATTATTAAATAAATGATAGACTATATATTTTTTCTGCCATCTTTTAATGATTAGCCCATTAGTATATTTTTATATTATTAATACAAATGTGACGGTCAAGTTAAAAAAAAAAAAAATGACTCGTCAACAGCCAAAGCAAAACAACTAAAAGTTTAACTAGTTCACTTCATCACAAAAACGTTCACAAAAACTGCATCAACGTGCTTTTTAAACCAAAGAGACACGAAAGACTTGGGAGACAACGAAGTCCAATTTTTTTGGGTATTGAAACAAAATATGTTGCTCAATATGGCAGCTCTTGAAGCAATATAATTCCTCTATTCACCTAGCTAAAGAAGCTAACTTAAAGCCAAACTGTATAGGTAATCAATAGTATGGTATGTTTTACTGTATATCATAGAAAATCAACTTTTTAAAATAAAAAAAATTATTCCGTGTCAAATTATTTCGCTCCTAATAAATTTCAAAATCTCTACTTGCTCAACCAATTTCCCATCCGAGTTCTCAATTCTGGGTCAAGCAGTGTTCTAAAAGGCGTTATGCATGGCGATGCGTGGAGACCAAGTTATGAGCTACGCGAGCTTAGACGAGGCTTAGGCATAAAAAAGCGTAAAAAAAGAGTTTTCTTATTTTAATATTATTTTAAATTTTAATAAATCAAAAAATTATTTAATAATTAAAAATAATATTTACTAAATATTTAAAACAGATTTATAGGAATGCTATACATTTTTTCAAAGTTTCCAACAAAAAGATAAGTTTCAAATTTAAATATAAAATGTTAAATAAATAGTATAAGAATTTAAATCTTGTCTAACTTTTTTATCAGACTCTAATTCAATATCCTCTTATTTATCTAATTCGTCTTCCATGTCTTCCGATACAAGTAATTGTTTTAAATTAATGCAAAATTAAAAAATTAGCCATTGTAATTTTTTAATAACACAAGTTTTAAAAAAATAAAATAAAAAAGGATGATAATGTGCACCAATACACGCATAATTGTGCCTAGACACGCCTTAGCGGCCAACGGTTTTCGCTGACCGTCAAATAAGGCACCAAGCACTTGGCTTGGCGTTTTGCCTGAGATGAAGGAGGAAGTTCACTTTTATAGCAATATTCCTCGAGTAATAGTAAAATCGAAAAAAGGGAAAAACTTGGAGGAGTTTCATCATAGCAATCCATGTACAAAAATGAAAAAGAAAAATTTTTAAAAAAATAAAACTTACAATAACATGGTAATTTCTGGCCATAAGTGAAGAGGTGGTGAAGCCCCAAATCCTTAACCCCCATTTACATATTACACAAAACACTTTCCCCAAAAAAATTCCCCTTTTATACAAAACTTCAACACCAATGAAACCCCCCACAGTAGCACCACATGTATTTACACCCATGGAAGAAATAATGTACAACTCGACTGAAAGAAAAATAAAATTGAAGAGAAATGAGTGAGAATCCGATAGTTTGAGAAGAAGAGGCAACTAAGTTAGAAATCAATGGTAAGTAACATGCAAAACATGAGAATAAAGCATAGATGACGATCGGCAATAGAGATTCCGACAGTTGGAGGAGCATCGACTGATGACGAGATGAAGGGTCAAGGGAATCTAGGATTTGGAAGTGAATTGGAGGAAGTGAGCGTGTGGGTGTGGGTGAGCATTGGGCGATTTTCAACAATGATACGGGCTGGGCAGGTTAGATTTTTTACATGGGTAAACCACACTTACTCAACTACAAAATATGAAAAATCGAGGTGTTTGGGTTGAATTAACCAATAACCCGAATGATTTGACCAGGAACCCAACTAACAAAAAAATAGAAATTGACTGTTATAGGGAAAAAAATAGCATTTAATGTGAATTGACATTTATACTTTTTGAAATAAGTAGTGTAAATGATGTGTCAGAATTTTATTAGTAAACACTTTTAAATTATATACAAAAGTTTATGTCTAGTGTGAAATTAGAAATTGTTAACAAGAGTATTTTGATCTAAACTATTGTAAAAGGGATATTTAACAAATTTTGGACATTTTTTGTAAATGATCATGTATATATATATATATCCTCTATTTTTGACACCCTTTGTCTAAATTATTATGTAACTATTTATATATATAAATAACATTATTCTCTATCAGTGCATTATATTATAAACAAAGAACCAAGTAAACCATTTTATTTTACAATTATTCGTCTTGTACAATCAAGGTTATCAACCATTTTATTTTAAAATTATTTTTCTTGTACAATCGGGACTGACAATATACTCATATGAGGTGGGATCCATGATTTTTTTATTCAACTTGGACCCCCTCTCATCCCATGTGTCTAATTGTCAACCGAGATTATCAACCCAGTTGTAGACGCAGCAAGACTATTTATTTTATTCTCCTATAAATCATTTCCGAATTTATCAGTGAAAGAAAAAAAATGTTGGCTGTTTTTGACAAGATGGTGGCGAAGAGCCCTCAAGAATTGCAGGGCCCACAAAATGAATCCGTTTATGCAATCAAAGATGGGTTTTTGGGAACCCATTTTTCATTACTATACTCTTCTTCTTCATCTGTTGTACTTAATCTTGCTTCTTCAGGCCTCATGGCTTATTCTTCTGATAGGCAAAATCCGCTCCTTCCGAGGTTCCTTTTGTTTTATGATTTAATTTCGATCGGATACACGAATTTGACTCTGTGTGTTTTATTTGCATTTTCTTGATGAACATTGTAAGTGGTTTTGATTCGTTGACACAGATCTCGATATGTTTTTCTGGTTCTATCCATTTATTTATTGTTTAAGCATTATGATCTTTTGTTGCTTTTAAATTATATGAACAGAAAGGAACGGAGTGGCAATAAAGGGTTCATCCAAAATTCCAAATGTTTCCATAAACGAACTTGTTTGCTTTGTAAATTTTCGGATAAAATCCATTTTTTTTGGAGGTGTTGGAAAGTTAACTGATTGATTAATTTTGTAGACATTTGATTATCTTTGAGCACTGGTTTGAATCGAGGGATCATTGATTCAAGCATCCAATCGACTTTAACTAATTAAGAAGAGTTGGGGGTTGTGATCTGTTTTCATTTTGTGGTGCCTTCAGTTTGTAGAATATGTTGGAAGAGAATAGGAAGGAGTCCAAAACTAACACTGCCTCTTTTGTTTGCGATTTGAATCTAACATCGGAGTGGCAAAAATGGTATTGATGAACAAAGTGTGAAGAAAAGGGGAATTCTTTTTATTCAAGAAGAAAGTATCCTACAGCACATATATAAATAGAACTTTGAACTAACTAACAGAATATTACAGTTCATTAACAGAATATTACAAATTATTAACAGTGTTTAGTTAACTGTAACTAACTCTAACAAACTTTAACTACCAACTTAATATTCCAATACCCCCCTTCAAGGTGGACGGTGTAAATCAGTGACGGCCATCTTGGAGAGTAATGGGAACAAAAGATGAGTTGGTAAAGGTTTGGTAAAGACATTTGCCAACTGATGCTGAGTGCGTATTGACATGAGCTTGACAGATCCTTCGGTTACTTTATCCCGAATGAAATGACAATCAATTTCGATGTATTTTGTCCTTTCATGAAAGATACTAGCTATGTGAATTGTAGCTTAGTTATCACAAAAGATCAAGGCTGGAGCTGATGATGAAATCTGAAAATCTTGAAGCAATTGATGAATCCAAACAACTTCACTAGTTATGGAGGCCAATGCACGGTATTCTGCTTCAACTGATGGTCTGGACACTGTTTGCTGATTTTTTAGCTTCCCAAGAGATTACGGATTCCCCAAGGAATACACAAAAACCTGTGACAGATTTTCTTGAATCAGGACATGCTCTCCAGTTAGCATTTGCAAATGCTCGAATCTGTAAAGAAGAGGAGGCAGAAAACATCAGCCCTTGACCTGGAGCTGCTTTGAGATATTTCAATAGATGATGTATAGCATCAAGATGAGGCTGCCGTGACTGAGAAACGAACTGACTAAGTTTGTGTACTGCAAAGGTTATATCCGGTCCAACGAGTCTTCGATACAAGGGTGCATCATCAACTAATTCACCATCGAAAGAACTAAGGTGAGTTTTAGGGTCCATTGGTAAGGTAGCCGGCTTGCAACCTAGGAAGCCAGTATCTTCAAGAAGCTGCAGCGTGTAGTTTCTATGTGAGAGGAAGATCCCATTGTGGGATCTAGCTATTTCAAGACCAAGAAAATATTTCAACACCCCAAGGTCTTTCAACATGAACTGACCATATAAGAAGGTTTTCAAGGAGTCAATTACATTGTGGTTCGGGCCAGTAATGATGATGTCGTCAACGTATACTAGCAAGGCAACAAACGTGTTCCCAAATCCTTTAGTAAACGAAGAGTAGTCTGACTTTAATTGTTGAAAACCATGAAGGATAAGTGCTTGGGAAAATTTTGAAAACCATTGTCGAGATGTTTGTTTAAGTCCATAAATGGACTTATGAAGTTTACAAACTAGTTCTTCTTTTGCAACTTTTGTATCTGCTTTAGAATGACCCAAAGGCAATTCCATATGGCAAGAAGGTCCCCATTAAGAAATACGTTGTTAACATCTAACTGAGTGAGATTCAATTTATGAATAGCGGCAAGAGCAAGTAGCATTTATGATACCATGTTAAGACTTGAGGTCCATCTTAATAAGGTCAACCTTATCAAATGGAGAAGCTCAAGATCTTTATAAATTGATATTTATTTAGGTATTAAACCGATGTGGAATAATACATCCCTTAACAGACCCTCTCAAGATAGTGGCTCATTTGAGCAGATCAATTTTGAAATTCACAAGGCGGCCCCGATACCATATTGATGAACAAAGTGTGAAGAAAAGGGGAATTCTTTTTATTCAAGAAGAAAGTCTCGTACAACACATATATAAATAAAACTTTGAGCTAACTAACAGAATATTACAGTTCATAACAGAATATTACAACTCATTAACAGTGGTTAGTTAAACTGTAACTAACTCTAACAAACTTTAACTACCAACTTAATATTCCAATAAATGGACTCCAAATTTATTGGGAATTGTGTCCATGATGTTTTTTGGTGGTGTTTGATTTATTTGATAAGTATCAAAGGTTGAGTCTTTCTGGTGGTATCTTGTCCCAGCTGGATTGAGTGAGATTCACATTAATATCTATTGATACTTCTCTAGTTTCCATGTTTGCATTTTGTGGGGATGTTCCAATAATCCAATTGTTTCAACTTGTCCTAATTTAATATATTTCTTACTGTGACCTGATTATTTGCAGTTGTAGACGACATATTCTGTTTGTTCGAAGGCCACATTGAGAATGTTGCACATCTTAAACAGCAATACGTGTTGAACAGGACTGCAAATGAAGTGATCACTGTTATCGAGACTTACAGGATCTCGTTGAACTTAAATATATCTGGTACAGGATGCGGATGGGAGTGTACCTTTCTTCTGGGGAACTGATTCTGAGGGTCACCTCGTTCTCTCCAATAACTTTGAAGTTATGAAGCAAGGCTGCGGCAAATCTCTTGCTTCATTTCCCAAAGGTACTGCTTTCTTAAATCCATCAAATGAAGAATACATCTAAAATGGCATGAATATCTTAATTGTATTTCTCTTTATTCGATTGAATATTCCAAAATTTACCGCCTTTCCTTCAGGATGCTTTTTCACCTCTTCTGAAGGTCTTTCTAGTTAGAGCATCCCGTCAGTGAGTTGGAAATCAGTGCCAAGAGTGGATAGTTAGGGTGAGGTATGTGGTGCAACCTTTTAAGGTAGACACAGAGTTGAAGTGATGCAAAAAATATTTCCCTTGTGGCCAGGAACGGATCTAGCCACTCGAGTGAGCTGGGGTGGAGCGTCGAACGGTCATTCAGTGATCGTCCAATATAGCTAGATTGTTTATTAATATTTAATTAATTTATATTAAAAGAATCTTCAATCATTATATAAATGCACTAATATATAAAAATTTCTGTACATATGAAAATATAATTCTATACAATCCAAAATAATAGGGTATAAAAATAAATTTTTTGAATCATATACGTATGACCAAATTTCAAATTTTATGAACTTAAATGAGATAAGATGAAGTTTATACGTAAAGAGTGATTAAATGATAAATACAAGCTTTGAGTTTAAGCGAAACATATCCAAAATTTTTAAAATGGTGAATTTTAGATATATTTTTTACCTCCAAAAAGAAAAGTGCTTTTCAAGCAAATAAAAAGATAAAAATTAGTATTTAAAATTGTTCAAATTTGAATTTTAAATTGATAAAATCTAACAATAAAAGTAAATATTTTAAAGCAATAATTTAAGTCAATAAATATTTTAAACGGTGATTTTTAGAGCTATTTTTTACTCCCAAAAAGAAAAATATTTTTTGAACTCTTAAAAGAATAAAAATCAGTACTTAAATTGTCCAAATTTAGATTTTACAAAATAAATTGATGAAAAATGACCTAATAAAATATATACTATGAAATAAAAATTTGAGTTGACAAATTTCTCAAAGAAATTATTTTAGAAACAAAAACTAATAATATATAGTTGTTTAATTATTATTTTATTGAGTTAAAAATCAATAGAAGAAGTGGAGGTCAGGGGAATTGAACTCCATGCCTCTCAAATACAAAGCTAACAATTTACCATATGAGTTATAGCATTTCTGCCCAGGAGAATAAGCACTAATTTTATAGAGTTATTTAATTAGGTAAAAATTTTAAAAGACGAAGTAATCGAACTCCATGCCTCTCATTTGCAAAACAAGGGTGCTACCATTTAAGCCACAACACTTTGTTGCAAACGGAGTAAAGTTAAACATATTTATTTTTCATACTTCATTTATATGTAAATTTTTTTGCTTGCTGGAGCCAGCATGGGCGGCCGCGCCGGCTCACCAGGTGCTAACTCCGTCCCTGCTTGTGGCAATGCTTTTCTCACCATTCATGTGTTGCAACTTTACACTCATGAATTGAAGCCATTCGAATGTCCTAAAACATACATAAATTGTAGCACTTCCATCTAATGTTGTAACACAAAAACATGTGAACTCTCTTTTACTGTTCTTCTCCTAAACGTATTTTACGACTTTTGTGGGGTTTGACTAATGAAGAAGTCAACAGTCAGATAACTGTGGTTGCACATATTTATATTGAACTAAACGAGTCATGTACATGCCAGCTATTGTTTTACTAATACATGCTTGAGGTTGCTTTGAACATAGAACCAAAGACGAAAACTTTAATTTCATTAAGAAAAATCATCAAGTCTTGTGTGCATCACTATGTACTACTCTGTGTATGGCACATAACAAAAACCGAGATGAAACTTTAATTGGTGGTATTAACTGTAGAAAGAAACTATAGCTGATTCAATCCTTTGCATCTGCAATTCCACCTGGAGTTATTTGGAAAACTTGCTTCTGTTAAGAAAAAACTAACAAAGAATATATGATAGTAAAAAATTCACTGGATTAAAGGGGGTAATATTGTGAAATCTGGAAGGTGTACTTTGTTCAGATAATATAACGGATTTTAATTGACTATTGTATTTATTGGTATAAAATGTGAACGATGTTTAACTAAACAGAACAGTTGAGTATCAATATAAAATGGGAAAGGATATTGCTTCAGCCTCGGGAAGATTTGGAGCATCAAACACCTTGCAGACGCGCTGTTCGCCTTTGCCTTTCCTGAACATGAGCCTTATTGTGGCTGCATGAGCAAGCACATGCCCTCCTGCTGGCTTCTTTGGATCTGATATGAAAACCCCTCCTCCTGGATCAGCTATAACTGCAATCACCAGATCATTTACAGAAATTAACAATCCAGAAGAATACTCAAACATTTGGGAATCTTCTTGGTAAAATAAATCTCAAATATAATCTTCTTGTTGCTCTTGGATGAAAAGATAATCAGTAAGAGCAGTATTCTGAGACTAGCTAGCCTACCCTGGTTGGTCATGTATACAGCAACATTGAATTCTTCGGCAATCTTTATCAGTCTAGAGAGCATTTGAGCCAACTTTTGCTGGAAATGTTAAAGGATTTGTGTCACTTGAAAATGTGTTATAAGAAGATTATAAACCAATCATAATCTATTATTATCGTCTAACCTGGCGTTCTGCAAGTTCTCCCCTTCCAGTAAAGTCTACTCGAAAGAGAGCTATCACTGAATCAACAATCTGAAAAGTACAACTCCACTAAATTGGTCTACTATCCAGATAGTTGATTTATGATTAGGATGCTGCTGCTGTAAATCAGCTTACCAAAAGTCTGAAGGGCTCTTCAGCCATTTTTGCCGCTAGACCAAGAAGCAGGTTGTACTGATGCTCATATGTGTATGCACGAGCATATACGATCTTTCATATATACACAATAATCAGATACCGCTAAGCAATTAAAACTAAATTTATGTGAATCAACAAAAATAGATTTTACATTGTCAAGTACAGCTCCTGGATCCATCCCAAACCTTTCAGCTATAGGTACTATGCGATCAGGTCGGCTATAAGTGCATTCAGTTAAGGGAAGGACAAATGAAAAGAGGCATTATTGAAATTATGGCTACCTTGAACTGCATAGTTGAAAGGAAGAAAGAATATACAGTTAAGGATACAAAGTTCCCTCAGTGTCAATGTAAGCAACCTTCCCGTTGCCTCCTTTCATATTAGTAGGAAGCTGCAATGTAAGTAATGAAAATATTCAAAGTTAAATACAATTTTCTGAATCTGAATAGTGATCTTTATGTATCTGAATCAACTAAATAACTAACTAGTTAACGCATATCAATCAGATTCTGACTGCCATCTTCTTGACAAATCAATTAATTGATGCAGGAAATTTCTTACTATATTAAAAGTCCATGAATCAGTTATTACATTGCTTTCCATCTTGAGAAAATCCAAAAATAAACTTCACTTACTACATCACTTGCCTGTGTGGAGACACAGAGAGTATGAGCCAGTTGTGTTTTTCCAGATCTGAGTGAAATGATTGATTGAGGGCATACAGTTAGTAGTGAAATATTGTCTGATCAACCCTGCTACAAGACCTGCAGGGATGACCGCATACACACATGGGGGGTCGGGATTATTTTATTCGCACGGGATCCACGCATCCCATGTGAGGTCGCGGTCATCGGGGGTGTCATCCGTCCAGGTCAAGTGGCATTATTCTTGTCCGATGGTACAATTTTGAGATGTTTCTGATTAAGTGATTGCAAAACAAATCTAATTATCACCTGAATTCCCCAAAAGCTTCTGTAATACTCAGAGTTTCGATCCCCCCTTCACAAATCCAAACACGGAAGCACAACCGCGTGTGAATAATTTCATTTAATCAGTGAAGATTTATATGAATGAATATCAAGCTTGGGAGTTCAAAGTTACCCCCTAGCAGTTCATCCAGTGCTTGGCTTCCTGTTGTTATGCGAATTACAGCTTTTCTCTGTATAGCCAACGATAGTTAATAATATCAGCACCTCAACAAGACACCAACGAGACTACGCAAATTATAATTAAAATTTTCCATTAGAAACTAATGAACTGATATCTTACTTTGAGTAGAGCATCACTTCCAGTGATATATCCAACATTCTATAAGTTTCAATGTAGAAAAAGAGAGAGAATCAGAATATACTAAACAACTGCATTTATATCTCTTTAACTATTATCGTATTATGGCACTAACCACTATTTTCTCCACAGCTTCACAGATCTTGTCAACTTTTGCCTCAGACAATCCTTTGATTCCAGTCAAACTCTATAAAAATTACACATACTTCAGTTAAATGCATTGGAAATTGGAATATTCAGATAATTTCAGCATCATGTCCTTTTCCTCACTTTCTTAGTATGCATCATCAAACCATTGCAGGTGTAGATCCCTGCATCCTGCAGTTTCTTTACATCTCCAGCATTGATTCCATGAGTTGTCACTGATAAGTATATGATGAAACAGAAGTATATATCAAATTCTAACCAGAAACCATTTGCTACAAAAATTCAGACAAATGCACCGAACTTCACAATTTGACTTCAAAACTGAGCAAAATATTTTGTACTTACATGTATCCTGGAGAATTTAATTTTTAATCCAAATACACTGTATAAAAGTTAAAATCATCGAGAATTTCCATGGAAAAATAGATATTATCAGTGTAGACATGCCGAGGATGTGAAATGAAGTAGAACAAATGACCGAAGAATGTGAAAATAAGGTAGAAACAAAAGATCGATACTGGGATATCTTGAATATGGATCGAGCTTACTTTATAGTAGACAGTAGACCAGCTCGTGCAAAAAACAGATCCTAAAACAATCGGAAATTTCATAGCGAAAATGAAATTTAACATACAAACATAAACTAGAGAAATTAAGTTTCCAGAGAAGAATAAAAAACGACCGCCAGCAAGCGAAATTTTAATAAACGGAAAATGAATTTTCAGTGAACATTCTATTAAAAATGAGCACTTCAAACTGAGAAAAGTAAGCACATATTAGCATAACTAGGAAAAACGAGCAGAAATTTTGAGATCGCAACAAAATCAAAACACGGCGTGATATTGCTTATTAGATGCAAATAAACGTAAAATAATAAGTTTATGTTCAAATAGTTTACGTTTATCGATTGCTTCGAACAAGTCTTCTTCATCTTCGATCTCTTCTCTTTCGACGAGCTGTAGCTGGCTCTGCTCTTCACTTCTGTTGCTTAAATTCACACAGAAAGTACAAATTTATTAGCGCCCACTAGGATTAGCTTTAATCATTCAATTACTAACTTTAAACTAAAATGTGAATGGAAATTTACTTGAATGCTAGCATCTTTTGTTAGTTCTTGAGAGAATCTTTTGGCGATGTAATTAGAAGAGAAGTGAACTGAAATAAACTTTCGATTTCAAATTCCGAGTTCGGATATTTATAAATGACGGAACTGAGAGCTTATTTAATTCGAGTTTTCGACGAGCTGTAGCTGGCTCTGCTCTTCACTTCTGTTGCTTAAATTCACACAGAAAGTACAAATTTATTAGCGCCCACTAGAATTAGCTTTAATCATTCAATTACTAACTTTAAACTAAAATGTGAATGGAAATTTACTTGAATGCTAGCATCTTTTGTTAGTTCTTGAGAGAATCTTTTTGCGATGTAATTAGAAGAGAAGTGAACTGAAATAAACTTTCGATTTCAAATTCCGAGTTCGGATATTTATAGATGACGGAACTGAGAGCTGATTTAATTCGAGTTTTTTTTACATGTGGGTTACGTTCATGTGTGGCAGAATGGTGTTGCGGAATTTACACAAATAAACAATAACTTGGCATGATTGGATTGGGTGGCTCTAATGGTACTATCTGAAAATTTAGCCCTTGTTTGAGAACCATTCTTTCGAATCTGAGATGTTCTCCAATTTTACTATTTCTTTTTTTATTCATTTAATTAATTCTTAATATATCATCAATAATTAAATGTTATCTCAATTTACCCTCATTAATTTCACCCCCAACCCCTTAAATTAATAATATGTCAAAAATAATTGGATGAATAATAAAATGGACAGCAAATATCAACTATATTCTTCTCTCATACTCATTTTCATCAACATTTCTCACAATAAAATATTTTTCACATAAATTCAAAATTTTTATTTACTTTTTAACCACATATTATTCCAAAATTTACTATTCACAAACTCATTCTTTTCTAAATAGAAAAATAAAAATGTTTTTTTAAACGGGGGCTCAATGGCTTTTAAATTTCATGAAGTCTTTATTTGATTTTAATTTTTTTGATAATTGATGTTGTGAAAAAAAAATGGATTAATGTTATTTAACCTCATTTGTGTGTTTATTATTAGTCTAAATGACAACTAGATTCATTTAAATATAAAGTCAGATTTATCCATTTAATAAGATATATAAATGTGATCACCTAAATTGATGTTTTAATACAACTGATGTTAGATAACATTATTTAAATTTTGTGGATAGTACAATATTAGAAGTAGGAAAATTTATTGATATGCATATAAATTTATTTTATTAAAAGAATTTGTTTTTAAAAATGAGAGACATCCCTTTAAATAATTTTATAAAATTATTAAAAGCTTTTGTTGATGTTCCAAAGACTTTTCGATACTTTAGTCAAGAAAATTTTAAGTATGTTTGAGCTAATATGAAGAATGTAAAGAGTATTTTGATGATTACCTTGCCGCATTTGAGGAAATGACACGTTTACAGAGAGAGAGAGAGAGAGAGAGAGAGAGAGAGAGGTCCGACATTGTTTTTTTTACATGTGGGTTACGTTCATGTGTGGCAGAATGGTGTTGCGGAATTTACACAAATAAACAATAACTTGGCATGATTGGATTGGGTGGCTCTAATGGTACTATCTGAAAATTTAGCCCTTGTTTGAGAACCATTCTTTCGAATCTGAGATGTTCTCCAATTTTACTATTTCTTTTTTTATTCATTTAATTAATTCTTAACATATCATCAATAATTAAATGTTATCTCAATTTACCCTCATTAATTTCACCACCAACCCCTTAAATTAATAATATGTCAAAAATAATTGGATGAATAATAAAATGGACAGCAAATATCAACTACATTCTTCTCTCACACTCATTTTCATCAACATTTCTCACAATAAAATATTTTTCACATAAATTCAAAATTTTTCTTTACTTTTTAACCACATATTATTCCAAAATTTACTATTCACAAACTCGTTCTTTTCTAAATAGAAAAATAAAAATGTTTTTCAAACGGGGGCTCAATGGCTTTTAAATTTCATAAAGTCTTTATTTGATTTTAATTTTTTTGATAATTGATGTTGTGAAAAAAAAAATGGATTAATGTTATTTAACCTCATTGGTGTTTATTATTAGTCTAAATGACAACTGGATTCATTTAAATATAAAGTCAGATTTATCCATTTAATTAGATATATCAAATGTGATCACCTAAACTGATGTTTTAATACAACTGATGTTAGATAACATTATTTAAATTTTGTGGATAGTACAATATTAGAAGTAGGAAAATTTATTGATATGCATATAAATTTATTTTATTAAAAGAATTTGTTTTTAAAAATGAGAGACATCCCTTTAAATAATTTTATAAAATTATTAAAAGCTTTTGTTGAAGTTCCAAAGACTTTTCGATACTTTAGTCAAGAAAATTTTAAGTATGTTTGAGCTAATATGAAGAATGTAAAGAGTATTTTGATGATTACCTTGCCGCATTTGAGGAAATGACACGTTTACAGAGAGAGAGAGAGAGAGAGAGAGAGAGAGAGAGGTCCGACATTGCACGTTAATTGGATCTGGGTGTAGGTTAATTCAGCAAATGATCCCATTTCTTGCACAGAAATGAACCATATTCAACTTTTGATAGATTATGAAATAGATGCTATGTATGTATATTGAGTCCCTGTTTGATGTAGGGGTACTTTTAAAAATGGAATTGTTAGAAGGGAAATTCTATTTTGATTTGTTCAATTGTTAATATTATCACAATGGTCTATTGAGTGTTAAAAGACAAAAATACCGTTAAATATATTATATAATTATAAAAGAAGGTTTTGTTTAAAAAACATTACTACCCTTTAGTTAACAAATAAAAATCAAACAATTCCCACTTAAAATATCAAAATTAGTAAACTTCTCATATCTATTTACTCTAACACAGATAAAAATGCTTTTATCTTTCATCTGCTTCAACCTCAAGATCTAAAAAATTTATCGAACGTGGTAGCTGAAATTTTTATTATATCAATCTTATCAGATCAGTAAGTTTATAATACGCATATTTAATTTTGCTTTTGTTAAATTATTTTACATTTGAATAGATAAAATTTATTTCAATATATAATGTTAATGTAGATAATTTTTTTAATAGATCTGTGAAAAATTTTAAGCTTTTGACGAGAAAAAATTCATCTGCATTAATATTGAAAAATTAATTTGCCAAAGTTTGGTGTGTGTGTGTGTGTGTGTGTGTATATATATATATATATTATTTCCTTCGATATTTTTCTTGCAATTAAAAATTCTTTTTCGTCATACAGATATGGTTGTAGTCCCAATTTGTTATTTTGGTGATTTCGAATTGGACGTAACAGATCAGTGGGTATGGAAATGGATGAGTGAAAAACGTGATTATATCCCAATTTTCATAACAGAAATAACAACGTATGCAGAACTCTATAATGTTTTACAAAACAAGCTAAATGTCGATCTCTCTCAGTATGACATGTAATTGAAATTTAAATTCAGCGATCAGGAAGTTCCCAGTCCACCTATGACTATTTCTTCTGATGCCGAAGTGAATTATCCGTTTGAAATGAACAATAGGCACTCGACTCCTATTTGTGTGACTTTAGTGGAGAATGATATCGTTGAAGGTAAACAAGTAGACTCAAATGGAGGGGATCACAATACTAATGATTTTTGGGATATGATCCAGATAGCTCGTGAAGATGATGCGGTTATTCCAAAGACAGTTACTCACAGAATTCCGACCGTAGTTTAGGACAATGAGTGTGAAAATGCAAATACTTTTACAGACGAGGATTTGATCGCTTTATCCCGGCAGAGACATGAGCGGGGTGGGATCTCATGGGCTGGATCGAGTGGATCGTCCTCTAACTCCTCGCGTGTAGTTCCCGATAGTGAGGATTTGTATGTCGAACAACTGTTTGAAACGAAAAAAGATTTACAGGAAGCTGTGCACCTAATTGCGCTGAAATACAACTTTGAGTTCAAAGTGAAAAAATCGAACAAATCGTTGTTGACAATCGCCTGCGTAGATGACAGTTGCTATTGGTGTTTGCGAGGGACGAAGATGAACACGAATGAGTGTTTTGTAGTTCGGAAGTACACATGAGAACATACTTGTGAAGTTTGATAACGTCGAAATGATCACAAACAAACTCGAGCTTGATTTATTGGTTGACAGATAATGCACAAGTATCAAGATCCATGCACGATCTACAGATCATCGAACATCATTAACGACGTCTGTTGAAATTACAGAGTAGTCTTAAGCTATCAGAAGGCCTGGAATGCCAAGGAATGTGCCTTTGAGGATTTAATGGGCTAACAGAAGAAAGTTATGCTAAATTGGCCAGGTATTGTCAAAACATGAAAAAAACTAATATTGGCTCGAAATTTTTTATTGAGATGGAGAGTAGGAATTGTTTCAAATTATTCTTCATGGCTCTTGGACAATGTATTCAGGAATTTCGAAATGCAATGCGACCCCTAATTCTAGTTGATGGTACAATACTGAAATCTAAAAATCAAGGCAAGTTGATCAATCTACATGTCAAGATGTTAACATCCAAATTTACCCTCTTACATTCAACATAGTCAATTGTGAGAATGACCTGTCGATGCGGTGGTTCTTCACAAAGTTAAAGCTAAGTAATCGGGGAAGTCAAGGACCTTGCATTTGTAACTGATTGGGGACAACCTTTAATAAATGGTATCGTTGAAGTTTTTTCAGATGCACATCATGAGTACCAGTTTCAAACGTATCAGATATTGACCAAAGGTTTACATTGAATCTTTGGAAGAGTTTGCATCGGGCTATGGGAATTAAATTGAACTTTAGTATAGCTTTCCACCCTCAAACAGATGGAAGATCTAAGCGGACAATTCAAACATTAAAGGATATGCTTCGATCGTGTGTTTTAGAGTTTGGTGGACATTGGAAAAATCATCTACCTTTAATTAAGATTGCTTATAACAACAATTATTACACCTTATCAACATGGCACTTTACGAAGCATTGTATGGGAAGATATGCATATCACCAATTCATTTGGACAAGGTTGGTGAGCGTAAGATTTTGGATCTAGAGATTATTGAACAGATTGTACAGGCTATCAAGAAGATTCATAATGGTATTAAAACGACTCAAAACAGACAGAAAAG